CAGTTGCTGCTAAATTAAGGCACAATCGCCGAACACTGGAACCTTCCTAACACAAAAAAGGCCTATGTTTTTGTGCTGAAATCTTGGGATTTTCAGACCTGTGCTCCACCTTTTCATTTCCGGTACCATAAACAAATGTACAGACGGATAGCTAGCTGGATTCAGAACGCTGCTGTGAAGGCATTGCAGACTTCAGCAAAGGGGCCCGTTCTCTTTCAAAACATCTTTCCTCCCCCCTGCATGTTTTCAGAGAGCAGCCAGAACAGGGCACACGCATGCCAAGCTCCTAAAAATAACAATCACTTCAGGGCATTTACCTGTTTTCCAAAACTGTTGTCAGGGCTTTGTGATAGCATGCTGGTAATCAAAAAGGCTTTTGTGCCTGTAAGTAACGCAAAGCGACAGCACTACGAAACAGCAATTATTCAGAATGACATGTTACTCTTTTTTCAAGTACATGATTGCTATCTGGGGGACTCCCAGCCCTCTCTTAATGAGCCAAAATGCAAGCCTGTCTGCATGCATGCTCTGGGGTTCCACATCGGGTCCCAAGTCGTGCGCCTGTTTTTTTTAAAAAGAGGCCAATTTCTCCGACCAGTTATTATAGCTCAGTAGAAACAAATTCATTGACGACCGGGTAAAACTTGACTAATTTCAAATTAAGCACAAAACCGTGAACTTTGTGAAAGTCCCGCCATATTGTCGCAAATCTCCCGCGGTTTCTCACCACGGGCGAGGGCGAGAGTTCACGAGAATTGTGATGTGAAGCAGCCCTTCCTGCTCACTAGTCACTGTGACGACTGATGTACTGTGATGGATAAGCGAATAAGCACAGGTTGTGCAGAACTGTCCCGACATGTTCTGGGTTAACGAGTAAGTTCCATTGATCGGCAAAACCACCACAATGTCGAGAGAAAGATTAGAGCAGATGTATTCACAAGCCTGCATGTTTACAGTGTAATAGGGCAGCTTCACCTCATTGGAAGTCTTATTGCCTCATTCTGAATAGCAGATTATGATGCTACACTTACCTGGAAATTTCATCTATTTTGTGATGTAAATTGGAGGTTTTACAAGTTACTGGGCATACTTTACTTTCATCGTGGTTTGAAGTGCACTCATGAATGCTGATTCTTTTTAACCCCGAAATATACAAATAGTGCTGCAGTTCCCCTTTAATTTTGGCTTCAGCCTCGTGACGTCATGCAAGCTTCCAGTTCTTCTGGAATCCCTGAACGGCTCTGATCGGGTTCAACCTCAAATGTTCTGCCCCAAGCTGGGTGTTGGGAGTCAGACTGCCACACACTGGTCCCTCCGCAATCAAAACGCCACAGCGGGCGAGCAAATTAGAGCAGGGGCACAACAAGCTGAAAACCCAGGGGGGCACTTTCAAATCTGGACGTGGACAGAAGGCGGGGGACGGTGACGAAGGAAATGAAGAACACAGCAGCAATAAAGGAATACATTACAAATTGGAGAGGTTTCCTAAGTGTGGCTTGACACGCCCAGTAAAAACTCTGCAGGACTTCAAAACTTCCCATAAACCCAAAGGCACTTTGTCAGCACAGATCTTGACCCTTCCTTGGCAAGAGGAAGCTTGCTCTGGCTTACTTGCCGATGAGAGCAGAGCGCCATGGGACTGCCCACAGTGCATTTCAGCATCCAGTGCCACAGGAGGTCAAAGTGCATTTCAGCTTGCAGCGCCACAAGAGGTAAAAAGAACACCATTCCTTCTGCACAACAGGTTTGCCTCCTCCATCTAGAGCGTTTCCATTGCACAACACATCGGTGAAAAGCTCACGAGGAAACTTCTTTCCCTCTTGCAGGACTTGGCGTTTGGTGGGGGGGGGGGCAGGGAAGAGGGTGGCAGCCAACATTGTAAAAACAACCGCTGCCCTATTCCTTCCTTGAAGAAAAAATGAGCTTTTTACGCCAACACACCTCCTATTGAGAAGAGCCCACTGGCCAAAGTTGCATTTCAAGAGATGGACAGAGTGTCTGAGCCTCTCTGCCCGTCAGCCTGCCTATGTTATCAGAGATTTCTGAGGGGAAAAACCAGCAACAACAGCAAGGAACTCAGCTAGTTAAACACTGTTTATCTACCTCACTAGGCAAACACAAAGCAAACCACATACTGCACACTGCCAGGTACAAATCTGAAACTGTTCCACAGCTCAGCTCCGTACAGTAGCAACCCTGGAAGCCATCACAACACCACTTGATGCCCTTCACAGCGCAGTTTACAGTATGGTTCTGTTCTTCTTCCGCTGAATGGCAGCTTCATCTGTGTGTAGAGAAAAAACAAATCGCAGCACGACAGACGAAGGTAATTTTCGAGACAAAACCTCTTCCAAATTGACAAGAACCGTAGAGAACGAGCACGCCGGGCAAAGCAGAAAACGATATCAGTTTCTAGCCCAGTCGCATGCACGCAATTCACCCTGGAGTTCAGTGAGTGATCTATCAGCCATGTAAATTGAAACATGCTGTGTGCACTGGCCCATTCAGAAATGACTGCATGCAAGTTACATCTGAAGTCCAGCCAGTGAAGGTGTGTCAGACAAAAGAGATCATTTGGGGATTCTTTCAACATAAAAAAAAATGTTCACCCAGATTCTCTCCCCCCCCCCTTCAAGAACTAGAAAAAATATTTATATATACATAAAAGGATATTATGCAAAAATTGCACAATGCACTTAGCAGGACCTCATTTAGAGTACTGAGTACAGCCTTGGTCAGTGTGTTACAAGAGATACTGCTGCTCCGGAATCAACACTGAGAAGAGAAACCGGATACGCTCCTAGGCTCAGAGGAATGTCCTATATTGACAGGCGAAAAGAATTGACTCTTTTAGTCTTGAATAGTGAAGACTACAAGGGGACTCAATTCAAGTATTCAGAGTCCTCAAAGGCATTGAGCCACGGGATGGCAACAGAAACCAGGGGGAAATTGCACTTCGAACCGAGAACAGGAGACTCGTCTTTACACCAAGAGTGGCAGGAGGCGGGAACAACCTATCCATCCATATGGATGATGAGTGGATATTCTGGCTTCTTTCAAGAACCAGCGGGATACGATCCTTGGATAAATGAGCTACTAGCAACCAAACCACGTAGAGGGGACAAAACGCCTCCTTTCCTTTGTTACCTTTTATAGAGTTGGCATAACAAGAGTCCTTTCAGTATCAGGTCCACAAATCGAAATGAGTACACTCCCATAAGCATGCATCCCCAAGAAGCTCGTTGAGTGGAAACTTTTATACTTTACTACCATGCACTGAACGTCCCCACCCCCCCCGTTATGCTGTGCATGACAATAAAAATAAAAATAAATAAATAAAACCAGACCCACAATCTAAGAGAATGAAAATCAAGAATGCGTAACGATCTTCGGCAAACTCCGTGCCTTAAATCAACCACTCAGCTCACTTCACGTCTGAATGAATGCGCCGTTACATGACATGAAATGTATACTTCGCTGTGCGTGTGCAGTTATTGGCCTGTGTTTAAACACAAACCGCGCAGTACACTTCTCAGTTGTGCAGTAGTGACGTGGGTAGTTCATGATTTTACGTGAACCGGTGGCAATGGTTTCTACTGCCAAGAGTGTGTACATTTTAATTACCGTTTGGGAATTCGGCCAGGTAAAAACTGTTTCCCCTTCCACGAATGTCACAATTGGCTAGTGCGGCAGCGGTGATTAAACTGGATTTGCTGAACTCCACGAGCTTCCCAAGTGTATCTCCTGTCGAAACTCCCAAGCCCAGCGATTCAAAGTATATAATTAACTTGCAACATTGTGCAATCGGCGGTGCGGATTGGAGAAGGGAATGCATGTTAATTACCAGATCCTCGGGTCTGTGAGTCACCTACCTAGGTTTATGGAAAAGGGGGAAGGTGAACGAAATTGCTCACGCTTAGTCAGGTTCTCTTTTGGCGCAGTACAGATGATAAAAAATGAGCCCGAAGTATCGCGCATCAGAACAGCAACTTGATTTTCCACAGCGTGCGTTTTCAAGTATGCCCCCGTTAGCGTGGCATGTTTCTGAAGGGATTTCGACAGGTGTTCACCGACTGGTATTCATTTGTTTCTGCCCCCCAAAACATAGAAAACGCACGTTTTTCATATATATGCAACATCAGGCGTGACACTGAGAAATAAGTGGTGCGGACTTGTTTTAAGAGCGGCGATTCAACGAGTTCTTCACCTGAATTCGCACGCCGGCGGGGGGGAGTCTAGCGCGATTATTATAATCAAATATTCGCGGGATCAATTCCGTTCAAACATGACGGCAATAAAGCAGGCGTTCACTTCAAAGCCCAAAACACTGCTAGTGCCTACTTTAGGTTAAAAAAAATGGAACTTGTCATTTGAAGTGCATTACATTTCACGCACGCCAAACCAAAATGCCGCTAAGCACACTTTGCATCGCTAATTGCAAGAGCAAAACGTCCACCTCGACGGCAGCCCAATTTACCGACCGCAGTGAATTTCCTTAACGATTATTTTCCAAATTAAGGCGCTGCGCGTCACGTGGCCGCAGAAGCTGCCCGCTTTCGGGGGGACAACTTTCACCATCGCTCTGAGAAACGAACAGCTGCGGGCCGGTAAATAGACTGCTTTCCCTCCTGTGCACCCGCGGAAGAGCGGCCGCGATCATTTAAAAAAAAATCAATTTAAAAATGGTGGCCCTGAGCGTTCAGAAGAGAACTGTTCTGACACGCCGAGCTACCTTTACGAGAAATAAATACGCACGACGGCAGGCAGCGGCTGTTGCTGGCCACTTTCTCAACCCCAGCTACAATCCCGACACTGTTGCTACCAGCTCTCCGCGATCAGTTATTTTCGTGACCATGCCCGCTAACCGCTGACCACCGCGCTGGTGGTACCACGCAGGCGGGGGAGACGGGGGGAAAAACACTCCAGTTGCGAAACCACCGACACGGTAAATCCGAGCCGAGACGAGTCCTCGGTGCACAGGCGCGCACAGCCACACTTACAGATAGTAGGTGAAGGCGCTCAGCCCGGCCGGCACGGCTGGGAGTCCCTTCCCGGAGCAGTCGGCTCCTCCATCCCCGTCGCAGCGGCACGGCGTCGGGCAAGGAGCCGGCGAGGACTCGCCTTGTCCGGCGGCAAGCCCGCAGATCAGAAACCAGCCGGCGTACGAGATCCGCGCAGCCCACAACTTCATCTTGGCACTTTTGCTAGTTGGCGCCGGCCAGCTCCCGTCAAATGTTGGGGTTTTTGTTCTTTTGTTGTTGTTTTTTTAAAAAAAAACCAATAAGAAAAAAAAACCTCACACTTATCCTGCGTAGCGATACCGTCCCAGTTGCAGTGCCGTGAAACGGATCAATGCATGAGTTTTGTAATCAATCATTGATTTGCGGGTAAAGGTAAACTACTCCCCAGGTTGCAATGTATACAAAACCAACGCATAATCCAACTTTGGGGGCTGGCTCGGTGTATTCCGTGGTTTTTTAAAAAAAGAAAAGAAACCGATCGATTATAATTCCGAAGACCCCCGTATTTACTAGTCCAGTTTAATTCCACATCGGGGGTTGTACGGGAGTACCAGACCCTGCACCGCAGTAAACAGATCAACACCTCTATCCCTCTTTCGGATTCCGTCCCATTAATCCACAGAGACTCGGGTCTTCTCCTTGTTGGACTTGGTTGCTTTTCTCGATTTAACCTCCCTCCAAAAAGAAAACCTCACAAACGGGGAAACAAAAATCGCTCCGTGTGTATTCTAGTCCTCTGCGTCCCCTGTGTTTTGATTCCCGGGGAAAACAGAAGTCAGATTTCAGCCATTCCTCGCGTCTGATCTTGCCCACAGCACCAGCGTTACAGCGAGCTCAGCGGCAGCCTCTGTCTCTCTCTCTCACTCACTCTCCCCCGCGGGGAAGCAGGGCTACACGACGTCCTGAATATGTAAATGCAAACCTACATATTAATGAACCACTGCCATGACTTATTGGCAAAATCTGACGGAACGGCTATTAATATGCAAAGACAACTCCACCACATTGAGCAGACGCGATAAGGAGGCCTGTCTGGCTCGCTTTGAACCGGGGGAGGAGGGATTTAGGACGCTGGCCGGCTCTGAGCGGGGAAGGTTTGAACGGCGCACAGTGAGGTCTGTGTTTTTGGGGATGACCTGCAGGTTAAAGGCAGGGTGGCCCAAGGAGTTTCTGTGTCCGAAGGAAAAAGCGCCTGCTGCTGTTCATACCTGGGAATCTTTTTTTTTTTAGTGTTTTTAGCGCCCATCTACACATGCGGTAGAAGTGCATTCGCACTTGTCCACAACTTCAGTCACAAGCCGAGCTGGTAGCGGAGACGAGATGCGCAGGCTGTGTCGGTTTCTGCGGGACCGGCATCGTAAAAAACAGCGCCGAGTGCGAGAGCTGTCAAAAACGGCAACACGGATTACAGTAAGGCGAGGCAGCCAGCATCCGCTGGCGACAAACTAGCAAAAACGAACAAGTCCTCACTCTGCTTGAAGACCACGCTCCGGTTAAACGTTTGTTTTTGCCTCTTACGTGCAGCACCCAGTCCGAGAGATCGCCGGCCGGCCAGGGTAAATCCGATCTCTCCTGAGGGGACTCCTCTTTCCACTAAAGCTTTTAGTGGGTCAATTTACGATGCTATTTATCTTTCTCTTCATTTACGTGTATTTACGCGTTGTAAGTACTATGGGTTTTGTTCAAAGTCCATGATATAAAATATAGTGCTCTACTACCCTGTTCTGCTATTAAGTAGATCCCCAAATTTGCATGCACCAAAAGACAATGAAAAACAATGGTAAAAAAGAACATAAACAGGTCATAAATTAGTATCATCCGGAGCAGATTTGCATCGTCACTTCAATCTTGTAATAGGAAATGAGAGTGAAATATATTTGCTTTGCAAATAGCTGTATCAGCCTATACATAGACCTATTCATACATTTTTTTCCAAATAGCATTTGTAGTGACCAAGGTGTGTAGTTTTGAATTAAACCGTGCTCATTAGAATAGCATTTTATTTTCTTTTGCCAGTATAGTCACACAGTTTTCTTCATTCCCAGGTGGCACACACAAATATATATGTTTTGAGGGGAAAAACAATTAAAATGTAGCACCCTGCTGTATCGTTAGTGTTTTCTCTTCCTCTCTGCCTATGTGCTCCTAAGTCTAAGGTAAAAGGGACTTTCCTTTGATGAGTTCTTGCTGTGCTTCAGACAGGAAGGTCTTGGGAAAGACCTGACAGACTCCCCCCAGTTCAGCTCTGAGTCAAAAAAAGAAAACGGGGCACCTCTTTACACAAAGGGTGGCGGGTGTCTGGAACAAGTAGCCCGGCAGTTTTACTGAAGCCAAATCCACCGGATCGTGCAAGAAAGGGACGCGAGGAGCTCTTTTGATCGGTTGGAGTGAAGTGAAGAAGGTTGATCACAAGGTCTTCTCCTGCGCGACACCTTCCTCATGATCTGTTCAAGGTGGGGGAAGAGGAGGTTTGGGCGATTGTGCACATGGTGTTGAAAACAAGCTCTTCCGGTATATAAAGAGATGTTCACGTGTCTGGGGAGAGCCCAGCAGGAATGTGTGCAGAACAGATGCTTCCCTACCGCCCGTCTGTCACAGACCCACCTGAAACACGGGTTCATATTGAAACCACACTCCCCATCTCTTCGCGAAGGACAGTGCACCTCCCAGTGGACAATTTAGAGAAGAGAAAACCTCCTAGAGGCATACTGGGAGTCAGGCATTAGAGTTTCCCAGCACGGAGGAGCAAAAGATCTTGAGAGCTACAGACAGTGCCGTTTAGGGCCCAGTGGATTCTCATATTGAACCCATTCTGAAGTCCACTGGATTACCGCAGGCTTTAAAGATCCCAAATCACACCTCCACGAGAGGGACAGAGAACGTGTTTCTTACTGTGAATGCCCACGGACAAATGATTTCCAGAACAGTAGAGAAAGATTTATAGAAAGAGCATCGGGGCATGATTTTCAGGGAAATAGTTTCTGTTTCGCATTTTGGGACTTGAAGGAGTGGCTCGAGGAACAGTCTTGGGCAAGGAGCTGTTGCCAAGGAAATTCAGTTAAAAACCCTTGTAATTCTCTATCCAGGGTGCACCGAGGTAAATGATTAAGGAAACGGTATGCATTCATTCAGGCCTTACAAATGTTAAAGGATCTCTTTAAAAAAATCCTTGAGGAACACTGTAGACCTCATGGATCAGACCGGGCTGACGGGTTTCAATGTCCCGTATGAAACTCCAATAATGCACCTTCAATTCAGTTCAGTTTATTGTCATAGGCACCAGTGCAATGAAGTGCTTATTTGCATGCATGCTCCAATACCAAGACATTCATGGAATCACCAACAACATAAACACAGAACAGCAGCCTCAAGAACAACAAGTTCTACAGGAGGTCATTCTTGCCTTCTGCCATCAGACTGTACAACGCATCCACCTTGCGTCTGGACAGAGGCCACACTGACAGGGACCTGTTTCTGGACTGAAGGCATCTACACATCTACTGCTACATCTGTTCTCTTTCTTTCTTTTCCCGTTTACAACCGTTTTTTGGGCAATATATAAATGCAACACATTTATATTTATATCTATATTACATCTATATTTATATTCATATGTGCAATATGATTTTTCTGTGTACTGTTCTGTTCTAGTTTGTTCTTTGTGTGTCCAGACTGTGAGTAACTCCCTTAGTGCACCCCTCACTGTACTGATTGTATTGTATGTATTGTACTATTATTATTATTGTATCATTCGTTACACTGTGGCTGTGTTGTCTGTGTAAAGCTGCTGTTGCACTGCAGTTTCCCTCACGGGATCAATAAAGTATCTATCTATCTTAAATAACATACAACGTAAACAACAAAACATCAGTGTGAGTTCAGTAATCCGACAGCTTGTGGGGAAAAAGCTCTCGGAACCTAGAAGTCTCGTGTCTTCATGCTCCTACAACACTTCCCAGAGGGAAGGGGAGAGAAAAGGGAGAAACCAGGATGCCTGGTAGCCTTAGCGATACTCCCAGCCTTCCTGAGATGGCGAGTTGTAAAATTGTCTGCAACAGAGGGGAGCTGTGCTCCAGTGATGGACTGTGTCTGGGTTGTGGGCTGTGTGTATGGGACGTGTCTTCCACAGGATTTGTATGTGACGATGTCGAGCTACCAAAACGAGGAATTCCTCAAACCCAGTCATATCCATGATCGCACAAGCTCACAGGAAAGAGCTATGGGTTGATGGGCAGGTGCTGTCAGTGGATATTGTGTAACGTTGAAGGAGTAATGTGTAACTATAGTGTAACTGTTGGGGGAGTAAATGTACTGGTCCTGGGGTAGGAGAGGTGTGAAATGAATTTGTATGGGATGTTGTCTGTTAACACAGAGGAATATTTCTTTTTTATGTAACATTCACTTGTTCTATTGGTGTGGTTTGTGGGTTTCTGTGTGTGTAACACAGCGGCTTTGAAGCCAGGCAGATTTCAGAGAAATCAGACAGCGAAGAAGTATGATACCATATCATTTGCTCATCACTGATTGACAAGAGGCAGACAGGCAAGACAGGTCAATCAGTGCTGCTGCTCCAAACCTCTTGGGTTTGAGTCTGCCCTGGGGCAACTTCTGTATAGGGTGTGTGTGTTCCCAAGTGCCTGTGGATTTCCTCCAGGTGTTCCAGTTTCTTCCTGGAACATCCCCAAGACATGCTGACAAGTTGTCTGTGCGTGTCCTGCAATGGCCTGGACTGCTGTCCAGGGTGCCATCCAGCCCTGGGATAGGTTAAGGGCTACCTCGACCCTAAACCTCGACCCTGAGGTTATGAAAATGAGGTTACATAATAATAGATGTCATAGAAATTGAATAAAACTCAATATGAGTCGAGCTGCTGTGTGTCCAGGGTGTGTGCAATATATACAAGTAGTGTGGTTATGCTGAATACAGTGAAAACTGTGTCCATGTAGCCATTACAGGTGATTGGTAAAGAAGCTGCAGGTGGGCTATTTAGCAGTCTTATTGCCCGGAGGTAGAAGCTGTTCTGTAGTCTGTTGGACTTGGACCGAATGCTTCGGTACCGTTTACTGGACGATAGGAGGGAAAACAGTTTGTGACTGGGAAGACTGGGGTCCTTGAGAATGGACCTGGCCTTCTTCAGACATCTAGCTGAGTAGATCTCCTGGATGTTTGGTAGCTCACAGCCGGTATTGAGCTGCGCTGATTTCACCACCCTTTGGTCACGGATCACGGGTTAATGAGCTGCAGCTAGTTGAGACTTGACCCAGTGATGACACATTGCTTTGAAGACCCCATCAGTAGCTCTCTAGGAAACCTGACTTTGTGTGTGAGCGTGTGAACAGTATACAGTCTGCGTCCGAGTTTCCTTGTTCAGTCCCTTCAACTGACAGCAATTAAGACGCGGGTTTTTGCAGCGTTAGCAGTTCAAACATAGAAGAACACAGCCACCTAGTGGTGACACTGAATGGAGAGCAGGAGAGCGGCTCCGTATTTCAACCAGCATTAAATATCAGTGAAATAAAGAACGCAATAAAGTGATCACTTTTGCTTTATTTTTCAAATGCACCATATGTGTCAAATAGCCTCTAAAGGTGTAGCCAAAAAGATCAAAACAATCAAAATGAGAAGGCTGTGATTTAGCTACAAATAGCAATAAATAGAATAAGAAAATCAAACACTTTAGGATAGAGTTAATAGTAAAATCAAGGGATATTATGATAAAATGCTAAATACACCAGTAATAATTAATTTAGAATATTCTGTGCAATTTTGGTCGCGAAGTTACAAATCAGAATATTGCTGCTCTGGAATCTCTCGGGAGAAGATCAATGAGATACATTACTGGCCTTATGTCGTGCCTAGCCTGATGTACTAGTTGATAAAAGATTTACGTATATATTTTTAGCTTTGAATTGAGGAGGCTAAGACGAGACTTGACCCGGGTGTTCAAAATCCTCAGAGAATTGCTAAACACAAGCCGATGGACTTCAGAAGCAACAATGAAACACAAACCAGACGCGAGTGGAAACTGGGCGGAAGAGCGTTCAGAACTGAGAACAGGAGGACCTTTACACAAAAAGTGGTGGGAGTCCGGAA